GGCTGGCGGCGGCGCGGCGCGGTGGTCCTGGTGACGTGTGGTCGCGCTTTGCAGTGGGCACGGCCGGTCTGGGCCCCGACGAGCTGCTGGCTCTGGAGCGCGAGCAGGCGCGGCATGGCGACCTCCTGCTGCTGCCAGCGCTGCGCGACTCCTACGAGAACCTGACCGCCAAGGTGCTGGCCATGCTGACCTGGCTCGACGAGCACGTGGCCTTTGACTTCGTCCTCAAGGCGGACGACGACTCCTTCGTGCGCCTGGACGCCATGGTGGCCGAACTGCGCGCACGGGACCCACCACGCCGCCGCCGCCTCTACTGGGGCTTTTTCTCGGGCCGAGGCCGCGTGAAGCCCGGGGGGCGGTGGCGGGAGAGTGCCTGGCAGCTCTGCGACTACTATCTGCCCTACGCCCTAGGCGGGGGCTACGTGCTCTCCGCAGACCTGGTGCACTACCTGCGCCTTAGCCGCGAGTACTTGCGCGCATGGCACAGCGAGGACGTGTCACTGGGCGCCTGGCTGGCCCCCGTGGACGTGCAGCGGGAGCACGACCCGCGCTTCGACACCGAGTACAAGTCCCGTGGCTGCAGCAACCAGTACCTGGTGACGCACAAGCAGAGCCTGGAGGACATGCTGGAGAAGCACCAGATGCTGACACGTGAGGGCCGCCTGTGCAAGGAGGAGGTGCGGCTGCGCCTCTCCTACATCTACGATTGGTCAGCACCCCCTTCGCAGTGTTGCCAGAGGAAGGAGGGCATCCCCTGAGCCGCTTCCGGCTGCCAAGCAACCACCGAAAACAGGTGTTTGAGTCTTGAAGCGCCTGACAGACAAACGCCCTCCACGGTTGCCACTAGCAAGGAGGGTTATTGGGGGTTTGCGGGTCATGAAGTCAAAGCAGAGGAAGCTTTCGGGACACCCCATAAGCGCTCGCGTGACACGGACAGGTTCTGGCCAGCTTTCCACGCTGCGTCCTGGGAGATCTGGTGTATGCAGTGAGTAATGGTACTTGTGGACAGACGCCAATGCATCCCTGAGCAGCACCTACCCCCACCTCCACCTGCCGCACCCAGGAGAACCCCTGGGGACAGCAGGGCAGCACAGCACATCGCTGCGGGTGACTTCTATTTTAGCCCATCTGGGCCAAGAGGATGCTGAGCTCTGGGTGAGAAACGCCCGGTAGGGACTAGGGAGGGCCCCAGAAGCTGGAGATGGCAAGCCCATGCTGAACCTACACCAAAAGAATCGATTCGTGTAGCAGGGGCTACGTCGTGCAGCACGTCCCACTCACCATCCTCTCAGACCAACCTGAACAGCCAGGCCCCCAGCAGTGCACCTCCTGGGCTGCCCACCTGCAAGCCCAAACGGCATTTGCCAAAAAGGATCGTCATTTCATCAGCATTGCCTGTCAGTATAAATCTTAAGACTGGACTAAGGTTTCTTAGGGATTTGTTTCACTGTAGTTTGGTCCGTGCGTCTCCCTCTAGTGTATGTGTTGTAAGTAAAATCAGATGTCCATCTGTAATTTATTGATAAAGATTATAAATTTGGATAGATAGGCATTTGAATGGAGCCCTGGGTGGGTCTCAGTATTTTTCCCATTATTTAAGAGACGACTTTCCTGTCCGAACTCTTTGAATTTGTGACTTCGTCTGTTTCTAGCACTTGAGTTGTAGGCCTGGTGGCTGCGTGTCTGTTTAAACTTGAAAGAATGCAAAAAACCCTTCTCATTTCTCTTTCAAGTTTACACATAAATCATGTCCAGTGTCTCCTTCTAAAAGATTCCTTTTAAGGCTTCCTTGTGGAGTGTTGGACGGTCAGGACCTGCGTCGATCACAAAGGGCAAGCATTTCTTGTTGGATTCCGGGCCGAAGTTCCAAAAATCTGAACTCTGCAGCGTGTTGATGAGTTTTCCCAAGTTCTGGCTTAAGAAAACAGCCTTCGCTGGCAGGAGCTAGGAGCCGTGTTCCGCCTGGCCGACCGTCTCACACACACAGACATCCTCAGAACCCCTGGAGCCCAGTGACTTTGTTTCTTTTATTTATTATTTATTTTTAAATTAAATGTGAAACGTGAATGCTGTGGTCATTGCAAAAGTCCAGTCAAGTGGCTCCGGGATCATTTGGAGAGCAGGCCCCTCTCAGCTTCCGTGTGGTGGGGGACATTTTTGTGCCTTTGCTCTCAGACCTTGCCATGGGATTTCTGCCTGGGTAACCTGGCCTGGATTTCCTGCCCCGGTCTTTGTATTCCCACTAGCGCAGTTTATCTCCCTTCCCAACAAAAGATGTAAGGACCACTTGCCCTTGGCTTACTCAGCCATGTGAATGGGAAAGGGCCACCCGAGTTCTGATTTGCCTGCCCTTCCACATTCTCAGACTGGGAGCGTGAGATGAGGTTTGAAGAGGCAAAGGAAGATATGGAACATACGTTTCTTACCAGGGGTTTCAGGGTAAAAGCCCTGGGCAGCAAGGAAGTTGGTGGACAGGTCTTTTAATCTGTGGCAGGCACTCCTCCCACCTCTGTTCAGGAGCATCTGATGACAAGAGGGGAACTGTCTGTTAAGGAGCCCTGGTGGCACTGTGGATCAGCTGTTGGGCTGCTAACCAAAAGGTCAGCTGTTCAAACCCACCTGCCGCCTCGCAGGAGAAAGATGAGGCTCTCTGCTCCTGTAAAGAGTTACTGCCTCGGAAACCTCATCCAGGGTCCCTATGAGTCAGCATCTACTTGTTTGACACTGGGTTGGCTTTGGTTTTGGTGAGGTCCCTGCTGGCCATCTGAGAGCCCAGACTAATGGCCCCTGTGTACATGCTATTCATCAGACACGTTCATAGAGAGGGCCCAGGATCGGGGTACCAAGGTAAATGGGCAGAGTCCTGCCTCCCTATTCCCCAGGGAGTGCCAACAATGGCAAGGTCCCAGGTGCCATGCCAACCATTTGTACCCAGAACACCTGGTTGATCCTCAGATCTCCTTAGGGAGCTGGTACATTCACCTCTCCATTTTTCAGCTAAGGAAATGGGTGCAGGGTCAGGAGTCAGACTGGACTCCTAAATAACTCCCTTTCCCAACCCAATTCTGCCAGAGCTATTTCTGTCTTTAAAAACAACCTTTTATTGCTATAGAATTCACATATCATTTAATTCAGTAGTTCAAGCCATATTAAGAAGAGTTGTACAATCATCAGTTTTGCCAGAGCAATTTCTCTGGGAGTCACCCCCCTCCTCCCCCTCCCACCATGGAAGATGGGACAAGTGTTCCAAGCGCCTTTGGTAGGCACATTGAAGTGCCCATGCACAGGCTTAGCGATTATTTAGGAAACAAAAACAAGGTATAGTTAAAAAAGAAGAGAGCTCCTGACCTAGTGGCGTAGTATGTTGTGGGGCCCTTGCCTGCTTCAGGACTAGGTTGAACCACGGGAAATTGCCAATGTGCAGTTACAGTGACTCAAGAAAATGGCCATTTCCTATTGCCCTGCCTAAAACGATATCTCTAAACCACAGCCTGATCCAGGCCTGCACAGGGCTCGGAGGAGCTGGAAGGGGCCACCCGAGGGAGGGTCCTAGGAGTGGAGTATTGTGTGTTGTGCAGTGATTGTCAGTGCCACTGTCCAGATAGTGACAGTGGTGACCACCAAGCACCCTCTTCTCTGGAGGGGCCCACAGTTGCCCACTCCTCCCTGTCCCTAGAGATAGGCTGAGTGCAGGCCAGGTACCCCAGAGCCAGGGGTATTGGGTAGACGCTGAAAGGCCCAGACTCCTGGGGGTCAGTGCACAAGGTGCCCTGGGGCCACACCTTACCTACTCCTCAGTGCTCCGCATCTCGGAGCCAAGCCGCAGGCTTCCTTCCAGGGAACCTGCACGGGGCTGTGCAGGCATCTCCCTCTGCTCCCTGAGCCAAAGGAAATAGACAAGACCCTCCCCTGTTTGCTTCTGCTCAAAAGCCACAGCTGGCCCAAGTCCTCAGAGAGGACACAGAGGTTTGAAAGTTACAGCCTCGTCCCACATGCCCCTCATCCTCCCTGCGGCCCCCTCCTAATCCCACCAGCTAACAGCAACACCCCCCCACCCCCGCCGCCGGTCCCTTTCCCCAACCCACATACATCCAGGCAGCTTCTGCCACCGCCCTGCCACCTGGGCCAGGATCTCACCAGCACCCGCCGCCGCCGCCTTCTGGGACTCCTTTCCGCAGGCTGACCCCTTGGTGGTCCCAGGGGCTCCTCCAGCGCACCTGACCCCCACCCAGGCTGGAGACGGAACGTGCCATGTCGGATTTTAGCTTAGACCTCAGTGGAGACCCTGGGCTTTCTCCAGCAGAAATCCGTTCCGTTTCTTAGCAGACAGTCACACCACCGCGCACTGGCAGACCTGGCAGTGCTCTTGTAGCAACAGAACGGGCATGAATGACTGCAATGTCAGTCCAATAGCCTTCAGCGTCCTTTCCACCTTGGACCCTGGGTCTCTGAGGAAGGCGGAGGTGCCAGAGAGACTCTCAGTGTAGAGTCTCAGTCTTGGAAAGAGTCAGGCTCTAGAGCAGCGGTTCTCAACTTGTGGGTCGTGACCCCTATGGGGGTCAAGCGACCCTTGCACAGGGGTCACCCGATTCATAACAGTAGCAAAATTACAGTTAGGAAGTAGCAATGAAAATAGTGTTATGGTTGAGGGGGTCACCACAACATGGACTGTATGAAAGGGTCGCAGCATGAGGAAGGTTGAGAACCACTGCTCTAGGAAGTGGTTAGAATCTGCTCTCTCTAAGGGCCCAAACACCAATCCACTGCCATTGGATCAATCCCTATCATAGCGACCCGTAGGACAGGGTGGAACTGCCCCCATGAGCTTTTCATAGCTGTCAATCGATGCAGAAGCAGACCGGAGGGTCTTATGGCTTCTGATCACCCCCCTCTCGCTTAGCAGCCAGATGCTGAGCCAGGGCACCACCAGGGCCCCTCTCTCACTGTGGTTGTTAGGGGTCATGCCAGTTTCAACTCGCAGCGACCTTGGGCACAACAGAAGGACGTGCTGTCCAGTCCTGCGCCAGCCTCACAGTCCTGGCCGCGTTGTTGCCCATGGCTGCAGCCCCTGGGCCCAGCCATCTGGGGAAGGTCTTCTTGGCTGACCCTCTGTTTTACCAGGCATCAGATCCTCCTCCAGGGGGCTTTCTCTCCGGACAACATGTCCAAAGGATGTGAGACAAAGTCTTACCAACCTCTCTTCTAAGGAGCTTTCTGGCTGGACTTCTTCCGAGACTCTTTTTTTTTTGAGACCGAGGAAGGCAGAGAGAGACTGGATTGCTCTATCTCTCCATTCCGGGTTAGGCTGACCCAGGCAGAGACTGTCCGGAGCCAGCATTCGTGAACCCTTCCCTCGCCCTCACATCTTGTTATTGCTTTAGCATGAAATCTTTCAAAGCGTTACTTCTCTGTGGGAGCACTGATATTCCAGCTCATTGCACCCAACGGTGATTAGCACTTGCAGTCTGACTTCCCAAGACCTGAGACAGAACATCCTGGGGAGAGCTCAACACGACAGTTCTGCAGCACAACCTTTTGGGATTTCTCCCCTCCTGTGACCGCCACCAAAAACCCTTTAAGACCTCCCCTGTTCCGTTGTTCTGAGAATCTGGTTTGCAATGCCTCAGGGTCCCTGCACATCTCCCCTTTGCAAGGCACGTTCTCCTTTAATGACA